CCAACGGGAACTCTAGGCCAGCCCCAACCAGGACATAATGAAGCAATAATTTGTACCCTTACAGAAATAAATACAAAGACCAGAAAATGTTAAAAGGAAATTAGTCCTATAGTAAGAACAGTAAAACTGTCTTAAAAGCATGATGTCTATGGCTTTCTTCAAAAACATATTAAAGTCAAATTACAAAACAATGATTGTTTATAGAAAACTTGGTAGGGAAGAAAACTTTTGAGAGCAACATCAATTGGAAATATTTGTAATGAATCCATCCATTTTAATTTTCCTAAATGCGTCTCTTAAAAAATCAAACCATCTACCATAAATACACATCGTTCATGCATTCTAATAAGCAGTACATTTTTTGTATCTTAGTATTCCTTTTTCTCTTCCATTCTGTATTTTTGTAATGGAATACAGAACCTAGAAATTGATTTTAAAAAAATGTACTTGATAATAGCAAAAATAATAACAAATTATGTGGACTAGAAGCAAAACTTGATCTGATGCCTACCAGAAATTCCTAAGTTAAAAACTGAATACTAGCAAAAGATAAGCAAAGAATATCAAAGATAGCAAGTAGAGTTCCAGTTGTAACCACTTTAATGGCTCCATAACTCTGTGTCATGGTTTGAGCCTGATCTGCAGCCAACAACACAGCAGCCGGTCACCCACCCTTTCCCCCGCCCCGACCTGGGAATGGGGGAGGGAATTGGAGGGGTAAATGGAGACTCGCAGGTTGAGATAGAAACTGTTTAATAATGGTAATAAAATGAAAACAATGACAGCAATAGGAAATATAAACAGGCAATGCACAGTGCAATTGCTCACTACCCGCTGACCAATACCCAGCCCGTTCCCAGCTAGCAATCCCAAAATACCAAGATCCGGCAATCACAATCCTGGAAGCAAGAGAGAGAGAGAGAGAGAGAGCAACTTCCCGAGCACCCCTCCTCTATATAGTGAGCATGACGTTACATGATATGGAATATTTCATTGGCCAATGTGGGTCTGGTGCTCTGGCCATTCTCCCTCCCTGCTTCTTGTGCACGGGCAGGACATGGGGAGTTGGAGAGTCCTTGAAATCTCAGTAGCATCTGAAAACATCAGTGTGCTATCAGCATTCTTCTCATACCAAACCCAGTGCTGAATCCAAAACACAGCACTGTTCTAGTTAATAAAAAGGAACATTAACTCTATTCCAGCCCAAATCAGGAAACTCTAAAAGTTGTTCATAAATGGGACCAGAAATCACAACAAAACCATAGCTGGATGATCCAATCCAGCCTAAGAAACAAACAAAACAATCACCAGCTTTCTGGTAATTAGATAGCTTTTTTTCCTTTATAGTTCCTAACAACTAGATAGGACTAAGAACAAATTCTTTACAAATAAAACTATAATTTTTGTATTGAAGCATTAGGGCTGTCTACTGTTGACATAAATCAAGATAACAGATATTTTCTATTTTGAAGAAAAGCTCTTACTTCAATGTTCAGTCATTGTTTCTTATGAAAGCAGCTAAGTGTTCCCTGCTTCCCCTAATCCTTGATGAATCACCAGTTTATAAATAAATTCCAGTCACTACTGATTAAATACATATTATTACATTAATTTGTATTACCTAAAGTAAATGTCTAGAAATTGCAAAGCTATACTAAAATTGAAAGAGAGCTTTAAAAAGTATTGATAAAAGAATATTAATTTGACTGGTTTAGCTCAGCTTTATATATTTAGATCAAATTGTTAATGCAGTAATTCAGTATGTATTTCTAATAAAAAGGCAATGAAAATGAATGGAAGATGATTTCATTAAAAAATATGAAGGGTGCATCAGGATATACACTTGGGTTACATAATACCATCAATCCAAATAAAACTGACCATGTATATTGGCTAGAAAATTGTACAAGCAACAAGTTTTTCAGACTATAGGGAAAGGGATCCTGACTTGGATAAGAACTTTCACCATCAAAATAACTTGTAATGAATAGGTTTTGTTTTCTTGACTAATAAAACCCAGATACTTTTCAACTCGGGTTATATAATGGAGTTCATTCAACCAAGAAATGGAGAATTTGTTTTAAGGAACTTGTCATAAAAGGAACTTAACTATGCTCAAAGCAGCCTAGAGAACAACTCCTTGCTTGGCGGTCACATCATTACCACCAGGTCTCATGTCATTCACCCACAGCTGAGGAGATGTCATTTAATTCCCTCTTCAGCCTGAAGGACCTGCAACTATACCACCCAGAAGAGAAGTAAGAACTACTGGTGTAGCACAATTTAAGGCTGAAACGTCCTCCTTTTTCTTGTTTTTGGAGCTGTACTTTGCACAGACCATTTCAAAGAGTGTATGAGCCCCTAACCCACAGGTGATGGCAGGAGGTGGTACCTCCTACCACATTGGATGGTAGGAGGGAATACCCTGATTGCCTGGCAGCAGCATAAATAAACAGATTATGAGCCCCTTTCAGTGGTTTTGTGAAATCATTTCCTTGGCTTTTATTGTAGTATCTGAAAACTAACCAGAGATGTCAAACCCTTTTAGATGTTTCATGAGATAATCTTTGACATTTTGAAAACATTATCATTTTCACTCCATCTAAAACTATTTTTTCTAATTCAGTCCAAATTCTGAAAGCTTCAAGTACCATCTTCTTGCTACTTTTGTAGCAAAACCCCCCCCCACACACACAAAATTTTCACTATTCTAGTCAACAAGATTGCCCTACAAAGATCCAAAGCAGAATTTGATCTAAATAATAAAATCAGTGTTATACCTGTTATGTACTCAATAATTATCAATAACATTCCATTACAAAAATGTTCCTTTCTAGACTGTTTTTTTCCTGTTTGTCTTCAGTTTCCAGTCATCATCTCCAATTGTTATCTATCTTTGCATGTAATTTTCACTTTCTTTCCTCTGCCTTTCCTTGCTAGTAGCAAGGCCCAAATGACTTTGATCTCTTCTGTTGACCGTGACTCTCTTGCAGGTTCACCAGCTTATAGTGATCATTCTTCTAGAGAAAATTAATATATAAGTAGAAAAGATAGCACATGAAATTTAAATGCCATGGGAAAAAGTTTGCCACTTTTTATGGGGAGCCAATTAATAAATTAGGTCCGTTTTCAAGATGGTACATGTCAGAAAACAGATTTAGCTCTAGGCTGTCTGCACTGAGATATTATTCTTTGTTTAACACTGTGTACTGATGACCTAACTCCTTCTGAACTGCTTGAATGAGAAGTATGAAGCAGGGCTACCATGGAGCCACCCAAAGCGGAATGGAACCCACTAACAAGCAGAGACCATGTACGTGCAGCCAATACCACAGCTGAGCCCCAGCCCCCAGCTAGGGGGAAGATATGAATTGTCTTCTAGAAGCTTGTCAGCCACATCTTCTGTGTGCATGACATGACGTCGTACAGTAAGTAACCTTCTCTCTTTAAATATGGTAGTAAATGAGGACCTGTATAAAAACAAGTGTTTTTCTTCAGAAAAAAAAACCCCAGATAGAATACATGCAACAAAAAAGAAAATTTCACCATGTATTTGCTATGCAGAGTACTGCACAGCTACCACAATGTGAAAATAACAATAAGAAGCAGCATCCATAGCAAGTTTTGAAAAGTTACTCCATCAAGCAGTGAAAGTAACATGCAAGTTCCTATAAATCTGTGCTCTTTTCATGCACTAAACTCTCAACACCAACTCCAGCTCACCTGTCAGTTCTGCTGACATGGTCCTTGAAGGAAAGATGGAATATCTGAGAGCCCATCAGCAATGTCCACCGGCCAACCTGCCACTACGGCCACCTGCTGCTGAACATTGAGCAGTGGGGTTCTCCTCCTCCACTGCTTTCACTCTGAACTGGTCTTATTCTTTTACTTTATGGTAGATTTCACAAAAAATGGTAAGAAGGTATTGCATGTAAATTAAAATTTTAACTTCTGTAGTTGCCCTCAAAATTTGAGTAAGAAAACCAGCAACCCATGAGTTGGAGCTGTGGTTCTACCTGCTCAGCAGCCCCTTGAGAGCCCATCCTACTGTTCACCCTCGTTTTTCCCAGAGACAGGGCAGTGGTTCATGGCAAATGAGATTTCAGCTGTACCTCAAGTGGGACTTGTAGCAAGGCCTTGGCATAAGCACAGTTCATATCCCAGGCACTGTTTTAATCCCACACATGCACGACGTTCCCCTTCTCTTAGCAACACTTCTCACCCAGGAGAATCAGGGAACAGCTGGGTACATCTTCTACTTTTCAACATCATTTCCCCCCCACAAGACAGCAGCCAGGAGGCTGTGTTGCCTCCCGCATGAAGAAGATGTCCCACCACCACCGTTTCCAACTTGCCAGGGTCCCTCATGATTACCAGGGGCTGGTGACCCACGAGGCAGCCTGGCAGCCCCCTCTCCCTGGGGAAGGTCCTGTACTGTGGGACCGAGCTTCAACCTCTTCCCCCTCCGCCCTCACCTCCGAGGGAGGATGCCCTTTCAGCCAGGAACCATTTCATGATGGCTATGGCACACTCGCCCTGCCCTGGGGGCCTCCCTCTCCACCCCCGGGGTCTATCAGCGAGCCCCCTCCGGTTGGGATGGTGACAGTGACAGGATCAACCCGTGTCCCTTGGCCGCCATCTCGCGCCCCAGCCCCACCCCAGCAGCCATCGGGGCAGCGTTTGTGTTGATCGGTGGCTGAAGGCCGGTGCAGGCCGGCGGCGGGGCTGGCAGGAGGGTGGGGGTGTGCTTTCAAGCCCGGCGGGGATCTACCCAACAGCCATCATAGCACTCGGTGCCCCTCAGCTGCGGGCTTCCCGCCCTAGGGCACACTCCCTCACCCGGCCTCGGAGGGAGAGATGCTACATCATTCAGACAGGAGAGATTTTGCACTGGATAAGAGGACGTTTCAAGGCAATACATGTAGCAAGAAGCTTAGATCTGAGGGGATTTTTCCTTTCCACTTAGATTTTTTTATTTGTTGAATTCTCTTCCAGAAAATCATCGGTGCTATATACAGCAAATGCATGCATCTGCATTTACATAATTTTGTATCATATTCTTGCCTAAATTGCTATTCAGTCATGATAAATATATGGGATCTTTATCACACCTGGCATTGATATTTAAAAGCCTCACACTGCACTGTAAACAAGGATGGACTGCACCAGCCAAGGCAGTACTAGTTTCGTGTCGTGCCATATCAATGCTTTTCCTCAAGGGATCTTCAGCTCCGGCACTGTCCTTCTTGGCGCTTCACATTGCCACTGAACGATGTACTTAGTGATCCAAGCTCCACTGTCTCTTCAGCCATGAAGCTTAAAAAAAAACAACCAAAACAGCAAGCTGCAAATTGCATTAATTTACACAGCTGTAGGAGTGTAACATCCCACACAACAGCAAATCCAGACACCATCATGGCTTATGCTCCCATTGCAGCAGAACAGCAGAGGGCTTATAAGTACTTCAGCAGGCTGCTGCTGCTGCTCCTCTCCTCCATTCTGCCCCTTTGCTCTCCAGCCTCTGCTCCCATCTGCCTTGCCATCCCACCATGACTGCTACAGTGTGGTGAGGCTAACTCAATGAGCAGAAGATCCACTGAGGATTTGCTGAAGAGTCATGGCTGGGTAAAACTAATTGCATTTATTAAAAATATTCCTATATTCACAGTGAGTTAGATGCTGACTCTGTAAAAATTCTGGCTGAATTATGTCAGATTCTGGTAATATTTTTAGATATAGTCTTTAATAATTTCTAAAGCTAATAAAATAAATTTTATATAACCATATTTGTGCTAGTAAATCCGTTCCTAAGGAAACTTTGCTAATGGTAGCTAAATACCAAGAAATGCATCTTGTTTTGTCACCGATCAAGTTCCAGCAAAAAGTGTTGGAATAATGGCAGTTCTGTACAGATTGTCACCTTTTTAAAAGTGGAGTGCAACTTTCAGCTAGAAAGAAAAAACTTTTCACAAAGAGACATTCACCAGATTGTCAGCTTTGATGGATTCCAGCACCTGAATCCTGTGCCAAATGAAGAAAATAATCTCTTGGGCAAACCTCCATTCTCTGTTCAGAAGATAACCTCAGAAGAGATCAGAAAACCTTTCTGTGAATATTTCAGTGTTCTCTTTAATTAATAGTTTTATTTTTTTCTAATATTCTCTTTACTAGACATGTCACTGTTGGCTTTGACCAGCCTCAGCCTTGGTGTAATCAACTTCTGATGAGCAAGTGGACTGCAGAACTGGACAAAGATTTAGGGGACCTAACATGTAAGCCCAGCTATGTCAGCAGCCTTGAGCCTGTTTTTTCATTTCTCAGTTTGCTTTCCTTGCTGCGCTTTGCTCAGAATGCCATCTCTTTATGTTAGTACTGTCACAGCGTGACCTGTCTGCAACAAAAGAACAGTGGAGACCTACACTTAGACAGGATTTCCAGGTAGAAGTAATTAACAGAAACAACATAAATGTAAGTATGAGCCTGGACATAACCTGATTCATTTACTTAGTACTTTGGGGTTATTTCAGTGATGTTGGACAGATGAGATGTAATTTTTCCTTAGAAATCAAGGAATGTTCCCCTGTAAACTTTGCTATCCTGATAATTCTAAAAAAGTGCACTTTAGAATAGCATGAATGTTAAAAGAGGTGAGTAAGATTTCAGTTTTCCACAGAACAGGGTTATTCTTTTATCTTAATTCTTTGATGAAGGGAGCTGTAGGTCATGGGAGCTCCCTTAGAGGTGTAGAGAAGCCCAAATGTCTTGCTGTTACAGGCACAGTGACATTGGTTTGGGTTGCTTGGTGAGAAGAGTCCTTCAGTAATAATGTTGTTAAAATTGTATTATATAGTAAAAGAAGATCCATTGTCAGTCAGAATTTCACTAGTCTGTCTCGAATGATACATATCAGAGTTTGTCCTTGAACTACGTTTATTGTATTTCTTGTACCTCATGCACCATAGGTCCTTCATTATCTTCACAAAATAACTTCTGAACTTCACTCCAATAAATGCATAGAGCACAGGGTTCACACAACAGTGTAAAAATGCTATGGCTTCAGTGGTGTATTTCACATAGGCCATTATCTTGTCATTGTCACAAGATTTGTCTATCTTGCCCATATTTACGGCTGTCACAAGAAGAACAATGTTATAAGGTACCTGGCAAACTAGGAAAACAGCTACAATTAATACGATCACACGGATTGCTTTGTTTCTTTTAGAATTCTGAGCTTGTTGTAAGGATTTGACAATGAATGTATAGCAAAAAATCATGAATATGAAAGGTATAAAAAATCCAAATCCAACTTGCATACACAGCAGCAGTGATTTCATCATTGTGCTTTCAGACATTCTGTCAAATCTGTGGTCACAAATCTCTTTGGTTTCATTGGTGGAGAAGATGTAACTTTCACTGTATAGAAAAGAGGAACTAGAGATTAAAATTGATGATACCCACACAGCCAAACAAATGAGTTTACTATATGCAAGCGTTCTTGCCCTGAGTTTAAATGACTTTGTTGCCTGTACGATAGCAATGTACCGGTCCACGCTGATAAAGGCCAAAAGCAGCATGCCACAGCTGAAGTTGATTGCGTAGATACCTCTGGTCATTTTGCAAATGAAATCGCCAAAAATCCATTCGTCAGCAGCATAATTCACTGCCCACAGTGGGAGAGTGAGAACAAACAGTATGTCTGCTATGGCCATGTTGAAGAGGTACACATCCGTCATGGACTTGGTTCTTTCATATAAAGCAAAGGTCATCACTACAAAGATGTTACCAACCAGGCCAATGATACAAATCAACGAATATACAACTGGAAGAAATGCTTTTGTGAAGTTCCTGACTTCCAATTTAGAACAAGGTGGTGTGATTAAAGAAGCATAGTCAGAATAATATGGATAATCTGTGGGATGAGGCTCTGTCTGTAAAAAAAGAAGATCACCAGTTAACACAAAGGTGTCAGTCTCTAATTTCTATACAGTAGATAAATGATAGATAATACAGTCATACAAATACAAGGTACTCTGGAAATCTTGTGAAAATTAGTATACAAGTATTATATGACTTGCTGATTTGAAATGAAAGCGACATTTCCCTTATAATAACTGTAGTACTTCTGCCCAGTTCTTCCCATGTCTCAGCTTTAAGTTTCTATCAAACTCATCTCATGATAGTCCACATAACTGTTGTCTCCTCCAATGCCAAATGTTTTACCCTGTTTCCACCAACCACGCACCCCAGTTACAAATGCAAATTTAACACTGCAGAGGAGATTTGTAAGAACTAAAGAATTTAATTAAAATTTTATTAAAATACGAACATAGAGGTAGTATTTTTGGATGGCCCAAAGGTTTCCATCTTCAAATGCATTATGCAGACAGGATTAGTCTGCTGTCACAGGAGACTCTACAGTGTAAAAGTCTGAATTTGAAGTAGGGATCCAGACTTCCTTTACCATCAAGGGAGGGGAAGAGGTCTTTCTAGCATGTTATACATTTCATACTAATGTAGCTTGGCTGAATAAAGCCCAGAAATCATTACTTCTCTCCACTCCGCTAGACAGGCAATCCAGGATAGCTAGTCTGAGACGCAGTTACACGCACCACAATCACCAAACCTGTAGTTACACTAGGAGAGTGCAAGCCAAATAAACAGAATGCTTTGACAGTGGACTCTGCTGTTAGAAGTGTCTCTTCAGCTAATCACTCCCAAGATTAGGGCATTTGGACCAGCAACCTCAAATTGCTGGGATGTCCAGATTCATTGCTTTATTGATGTACTAATATAGTTAATCAGTTAAGTACTTACAAAATTCATTTTGGCAGTATATTCCTCAGAAAGAAAAATATGTTGAGAAGAACTTCAAAATACTTTCCCAAGGATTTCTGAAAAGAAAATAAAGTAGATTGATTTGACAAACCAGAACAGGAAATGTGAACAAACAGAAAAACACATTTGGAAATAAAACATCTATTCAAAGAAGAAACTCATCACTTCAACTATATCGACAATACACAGGAGCATCTCAACAAATCACACACCTCTGCAGCACAACGTGCAGTTGAAGGAACTGGATGGTTTGTACCAGTATCATTAACAGCACAATTTTACATATGGAATGTTTATTCATAGAGCTAATAAACAATATATGAGAACATGTGAGTCTTACTTCACATTGACTTTGCACTGTAAGAAATTAGAGTAAATTAAATTTTACTTTCAGAAATTCTGTATGACACTGGCAATCAGTTATTGTCCTTTGAGCCTGCTCAGCAGCTAAACGCCCCGCAGCCGCTCACCCACCCTCCCCCCACTCGGGAATGGGGAGGGAATCAGAGGGACAAAGGGAGACTCGCGGGTTGAGATAAAAACAGTTCAATAACAGTAACAGAACAATACGCTGACAGCAGTATCAGCGGGTAATGTACAATACAGCTGCTCACCACCCGCGAATCCTGAACACAAAGGCCCCACAGCCACACCCCCGGAAGTGAGAGCCCCTCCCAGGCCTCTCCTGCCTTTATATAGTGAGCGCAATGTCACGTGACATGGACTATCGGCCAATCGGGGCCCAGCCCTCCAGCTGTGCTCCCCCCGCCCCCGCACACAGGTGAGGGCACTGGGCCCTGGGGAGCCCCTGGGGTCTCAGGGGGCTGCAGCTCCTCCCGCTGCCAGACCCACGGGAGCTCTAGTCCAGCCCCAAACAGGACATCAGTGTATTGAGGTAAATATGGAACAAATGAACAGCACTACCACAGCATACTCCATAACAGCAATAGCACACTTCAACATTTTTTTTTTATTCTGGCATTTTATCAGTGCGTCTCAGAACTTTTAACATCACATTACCTGCCTTTTTTTATTACACTAGTGAGGTAAATTAAGAGTGCCAGGATAACTGTTTCTTTAGGTGTAAAGGATAGTACACAACATATGAACAGACTAAGCACTAGTGTTGTTTTGTCTTTGTTCAGCGCACAGACCTTTCGGTTATAGACTGCGCTCTATGAAAATATTTTTTCTTTATCACTGTGATACCTCCGTATTTTATAAATGGTAATTAATTAATTTGCACAACACCCTGTGGCAAGGAGGTATTATTACCATTAATTTACAGGGGAGGAAACTGAGCACTTAGTCATTTCAGTAAGTGTCAACTTGAAATGCTCAGTTTGAGACACCCGTCCCCTCCTAAATTTGCTTTTAAGAACACTTAGCATTATGAAGGACTTCAGTTACACAAAGGATTAAATCCATTGACACTGGTTTCAGTCAGGCTCAGACTTCTGCAAATCAGACCACACAGTTTAAAGTCACTGCTCCTGTGAGATCCCACCTGCTGTGCTTTGTCCAGCTCTGGGGGCCCCAACATAAGAAGGACATGGACCTGCTCAAGCAGGTCCTGAGGAGGACCATGAAGATGTATGGGGCTGGAGCACCTCCCTTGTGTGGACAGGCTGAGAGAATTGGGGTTGTTCAGCCTGGAGAAGGGTCCGGGGAGGCCATATAGTGGCCTTCCAGTATTTAAAGGGGGCCTACAGGAAAGATGGGGAGGGACTCTTTATCAGGGAGTGTCGTGATGAGGGGTAACAGTTTTAAACTGAAAAAGAGTAGGTTTAGATTAGATGTATGGAAGAAATTCTTTACTGTGAGGATGGTGAGACACTGGAACAGGTTGCCCGGAGAAGCTGTGGCTGCCCCCTCCCTGGAAGTTTTGAAGGCCAAGTTGGACGGGGCTTTGAGCAACCTGATCTAGTGGAAGGTCTCCCTGCCCATGGCAGGGGGGTTGGAACTGGGTGGAACTGGGTGATCTTTAAGGTCCCTTCCAACGCAAACCATTCTATGATTCTGTGAAAATGGGGGACATGCCATTGGTGGCCACATGCGCAAAGCTGGGCTTAAACGACTTGTTTAACCTCACACAGGCGTCCATGAGCAAGAGATTCAGTTCCTCAGTGTTCCCCTGCATGAGTTCAGTCCTCCTTTTCTTTCCATTAGCTGCTCCGTGAGAACAGCACATACCAGCAATGCAGTAATTGCAGGGAGTGGACAACATGAGGTCCCATTTGCTAGGGCTGTGAATGACAGTTCTGTCCAGATTTTCTCTGCCTTTTGTTAGTTGTGGTGCTAATTAGAAAGTGCACATGGGTCAACTTTAAGTCTAGATAAAAAATCCTTCCTGTTTGGGAATTACCTGAATTTCGAAAGAAAGAGAGGCAGATAATTTGTAAAAGTGGGGCAGATGCAGTCCAGATATAACTGAGAGTTGGGGTAATGAAAGGACTGAACTGTCTCCAAAAGCATAATGAGGATGAAACTCTCTATGACTCATGTTGGGAGGCTGGCTCATGACAGAGGGCTGCAGATGGGTAGAGACCTATATGATATGACGTTGCTTAAGCACCACAGCTTCTCTAGCTTTCCTACCCTTTAAATAAATCTTTAACCACCTCTTCAAATTCCTCTGCTGACCTTTCAAAACTGGTTTTTGGAAGCTGTAGTAATATGACAGCCTGAAAGCCCTTGCACATCTCTGAAACAAGTTTTAAACAATTTAAAGTTTCTCTCAGAAGTGCAAAGATGTATAAGGCAAGCAGCAAAGTTGTACAGTTCATCTGGGGCTGTGGTCCCCTAGCCCATCCTGGAGCAACTCTAGTCGCTATCTGTTGCTTTACCCTCCTCTGACCCCAGCCAGCCAGACACTCATGCCCTTGCTTGGTGTTTCTGTCACCCTTTGCACTTGACCACAACTACAGTAACTCTTCAGTTAGACAGCACTAAGGCAGTACCTGTCTGGGTTATTATTTTAGAAACTGTTATTTTATTGTTGCAAGAAAAATACCTTTCTAGGCATCTGTCATGTATATATCTTTCTAGGATATACAAGGTTAAAATACACAAAGGGAGTCTGACAGCATATATTCTCTATAAACCAGTCACTCTTCATTCCATTTAGCCAAAGCCACTCCCTGACATTACTCTAACATGTAGGAGGTAGAATAGAGGGTGAAGGCGTTTGGAAGAAAAGGAGCACGGGTGTCTCCTGCAGCCTGCAAGGAGGGCTAGGAGAGGAGATCTCTTCAGATTACCACTGAAGGAGAAGGGCTCTCTAGTCCTCAGAAGACCTTAGCAGAAAGCTTGTAGGGACAACAGCTACTCATCACAGGAGAGCTGCATGCTTTCCCTGATGTTATAGGAATTCACAAAGGCATCATCATCAGTCACACATTTATTCAGAAAAGGACTTCCACTGTCCAGCAAAAGCTTATTGAGAGTGGTTGATATGAGAGTAGTAGCGAAGGACTCAGACTGAAACCAGAATTGCAGAGATCAGGTTTAGGACCTGATTTAAATTTCTTGAGCTGATTTCCTTTTCTGATTTTGAAACAGCATTCACTGGAGTTATCAAGAAGATGCAGTGGCTGCAAAGGGAGTTGAATCAGGACTACTATAAACATGATTTTCTTTTCAATTTAAATCTTTCTAGCAGTCTTTCAATAGTCACCTTTATAATTTATAATCTGCATATTTATGGCTTTATTTATCAATGTATTAGGTAATTATAAAAAAAAAATTCTATGTATCTAAGGGAGTGTGTATATGTTCCAACATTGTTTATATACTACATATGGGCACATGTCTATGCATGTGCACACAAACTTACTTATGTTCTGAATGTTAAATATATAAGCCTTGCAATTTTTAGTTTACTATTTTTCCACTTTATCCAGATTATCATATTTCTTTTCGCTATGAAATCAGTATGTGAGTGTTTAAAAGTAAGACTAAGCTACAATTGCAAAAGAGAATGGATAAAGGAAGACCTCAGGAAAAAAAATAGATTTCTTTAAGGAAAAATATTCTTGGTACTTGGAGTGAATCAATAATTATTTTTTAAGCATTGTTCACCATTGTAACTACACTCCTACTTACATGTTTGGTTTAATACATTTATCACACATACATACACTATAGATTATCTATTTTATTTTAGTACTTACCAGATTGGAAAATTGTCTGAAGATCAGGTGAAAGAGGATGTGTGATTCTGTTACACTGTTTTGTGGCTGCCTCAATCACATTTACCATCAGCCTCAACAGGAATACACTTTAATTTGAAAAACAAGAAATAGCAGCATTAGTTAAAGGTACAGAGTTAAATTGAAATAATCACCACTTCCTCCTCACAAGCAATCACAATAACCTGCTTTTTTACGTAAAGGAAAATATTTAACCTTATCTGTGCTGGAAACATGCAAACTGAAGGCAAGTCATTTACTAATTAAGCTACCTATGTAATGATATTATTTTTTAAAATATCAAGCTAGCATTAGAATCATCAAAAGTGCTCAAACACCTACTGAATGATGACCTATTTTTGCAAAGGGTGCACTTAATGTCAGACAGATAAGCAGTTTAATCATTAATCATTTAAATCAAGAACATCACTTACAGTAGAACTGCAAAACTGAGATCAGTGCTAATTACCAAACTGAATAATAGCTATTTTCTGAGGAAAAAATAATAATCTGGTATATGTCAAGGTGCACATTATCCAGATGTTTTTCCTGAACTGCTAAGACAAAATATGCAAAAGCCTAGGTAAAAAAAGAAAATACAATTGTATTTATCTGTTTGGCACAAACATTTGCTGTTTGTGTGCATGCTCTTCAGGTCTGGAGTTAAAGCTATTTGGAGCTAGACATAAAAATATTTCATTTTACGATTCCTGAATTTTAAAATTTAGAAACATTTCTTTTCCAGAACTTAGTTTCTGATGACAACTTTGATGTTTGCATTATCAGGAAAAACAAAAATTAGTAAAAACCCTTCAAGCTTCTTAATTATTTTAGAAACTGTGTGTGTGAACATTCGGTTTCAGCTCATGATCTCATTAGAGACACCAGATGGCATTAATACATGCAGCCTTGTAAGATGTGATTAAATTAATAGAACACTGGACCTAAAGAAATTCAGGATGACAGATGTCACACTTGTCTTCTTTTCAAAACTGAGTATATCACAATAGCAGTTGCACCCTAGCAGCTTTGGTATGACATTGCTTTCCACTAACCATACACAGTGAATGAAACAAAAACGATGCATAGTGTCAAAATGTGACTTGGCAGATTTAAAGTATCATGTTGTAATAGTTCATAATCATTTAAGCAGGCACAGTTCATTTTCTCGATGGCTGATTTTTATAAGATCTGAGACCTTGACTTCAGCTATGACAAAATGCCAGCATATTTGCATAGAGCAACACAGAGATACTAAAAAACCCTGAAATGTGAGTCTCGTTTTTTCCTACGTGTCTGTGCATATGTGGACACGATACATGCATGTTTTGATTGTTACTGATGAAGAGCAATCTTCACTGTTTGATTGTGAAATCTATCTGGATTGTGACTCAAATAACTTCAGTGGGCTCACTATAAGATTAATATGTCCTCCTTATGGTTGTTTGGACTAAACCATTCCCTGTCATTGCAGATCTGGGAAAGGTTATAATCAAATCTGTAAAGTAGTTGAGCATTTGAAATATGGTTTGTTAAGGTCAAGTTACACAAAGAAGATGTGTGAGTTTCAATGCAGAGAAGAAGAAGTGAAGATAGAAGGCCAAGAGGAATAATTTTAGCAGACAACTAAGATTATTTCCATTTTAAATGCCAGCAATGGTGAAAAGACAGATTCCTGAAAGCTGCAAGGGTATCAGAGAACAAGTCATGAGGCAGATGTTCTTCTCTCCAAGTGTCTGCATCTCATAATCTTCAGTAGAACATGACACTGAATGGACCTCTAATCTGTGGGACAGTTCTTGCATTCTTAGCAGCTGCCGTGCTCAGCAATGTATCTTAGCTGTCTGAAGCAGTTCAGACTTAGTGACTTACAGCAGAAGGGCACGGATGACTTAATTGGCCTATGAAGATGAGCAAGGAGAGCTGAGCTGTTGGTCAATGTGAGAGGTCAGCACAGAGGCAAGGGTGTGAGTGGGGAGGGTGCGTGAACCACGATGTGGTGGAAAGCGCTAAACAACTGCACTGCAGTTTGGTTTTCTACATTAAGATGATTGGCAAGATGCCCAGACCTTGTGAATCTTTCGAGACATCCTTAATCACAATAGTGAAGTGCTTTTCACTGTATTATTTAGTTCAGAATTCATAACAGTTTCTATCATTAAAACTGCACAAGTTTTCAGGCCATACTTTTGACCTTTGCTAAGAGGGACTTTAACAACATTTTTGTACTGTTCTGCTAACTTGATGTTATTTGCATGTCAAAATGTAGTAATGGAAATCATCTAATTAACTTGATTTGGACTTCAGTTGAGGCTCATAAGGTATTTTCTGGACTTTCTTGGAAAGAAATTACAAGCTTCCTTTTTAAATATCCTGTCCCTCAAGTGCTGCAAGGAATAGTACATTTAATTTTGATAAACTGAGGGTCATCTATTTTTTTGTAGTAACGTAGCTATATATAGTAGCCCAGATCCTGTTTACGGAGAATTCACTTTCTGTCTAAATGCTGTCTGAAGCAAACCACTGATTCCTGCTCACAGTGTCTCACATTTTTAAACATGGACTAAAATCTTGTTAAAAACAACAAATCCAGAGTAGGTGCACATTCTATGTCAGTAAAGGAATTTGCTGATATTTCATTGTGGGCCATTTCACTGTGGGTCTTTTAAGTGCTTCTTTCTCATAACTCTGGGACTCAGGAGATGGATCTGCATCTTGCAAAGCAAACTTCATTACACAAAGACAAACCTAGGCCATGGCAGTCATGTAAGCAGCAGATAATGAGTGAGAGAAGTAAAAATTCCCTCTGTACTACAAAAATGCATGTGACTTCAAATCACCAACCAAGTCCATGAAGACTGTGGTCCATATTCAGACAAGTACTTCTGCTGCTAATAACAGCTTCCAGCAGCTCAGACAACAACCTACTTTTGGAATACTAACAGATTAACCTGTGAAGCAGCTGAATGTTATCAACACTATTTAACTGAATGAGAATCATTAAAACATAAATCAGAATTTTAGCTTATCCATTACAAAATCTATTGCTCATCTTGTTCCATATTCAGGTGTTTTCTACTTTAAATGTATCTTCTGCTTTTAGTCTGCAGTATAATCAATATTCAGCTTGAATAACTGTCTTTCAGAAGGTGAAGAATTCGCCATGTAAGTGAATGCCAAAGTTAATACAAGGTAACTAGCCCAACTTACCTTTGGAGCACATGTTCTTCTGACCCAGTTACAAAGCCCAGACAGCTTTCCTTGCAGACACTTTGTGCTTCACCTTCACGCTGTGACAAGTGGAAAGGGTTTTTTCTTTTTAACACAACTATTTGAAAATCTGCATGTTATGCAAATGAAGCTCCCACACATGTAGTTAGTTTTTGTTCATTTGTTAGAGCTCTGAAAGGAAATCTACTCTCGTTTAGCTAATATGGTTATTGTGGTTTCTCAAATCTCACCACATGTTAGTTTTCTGCCACCACTAATTAAGGAAAGAAAATATTGAAAGATAAGGAAAACAAAAACACCATCTGAGTTATTCCAGGATCCACATGTTCTGGAATGACTCAGAATACTGGGTTTTCTTAATTCTAAAAGAAATACAGCACCCACCCCCCACGCTGTTGCATCCTGCTTTAATGTTCATTCAGTTAAATTTAGATCAGTCTGATCTGATTCAAAAATCTAGCCATCAGCTGAGGTTCTGGTCTCTCCATCATTCTTTCAGACTACAAAATGTAAACTATATATTTACATTCAGGTTGTTTATATTACCTTTTTTTTTTTTTTTTTTTTTAACATTACCATCCTATATTGTCAATATATTTTTTTCTCATTCATTCTTATTCTTTCAAACTCTCCTTCTTTTTTTTGCCTCTGACTTTTCACTCCCTGTCAAGCATGCTTTTTCCAGTATTGCTATTTCTGTATTTAGTTTTTTGTTCTCCTTATTTCTTCCTCTTTCTTTGTTCAGCTTTTCTAGATTTCTCTTCTTTCCATCTCCTGTTCTCTTCATAATTTCTCTCCTGCATTGCATTGTGTAGCACTTGCTTCCCCTTTGATCTTTTTTGTTCACATTTTCAGCCTCACTCCCACCTGATTCCACATACCTCATTGTCAGATGCAGCCCTCCTCACGCCTTATGAGGTGCCAGGGACTGAAATAACATGATCCTAGCACTGACATCTGTCCCACATTGACTGATATCCATCAATGTTTTAATTACTTGATCACCTCTGTCAAACCAGTTAGAGAAGACAGAGTCCTCCTAGGGCCTTCTACAGGGTTTTTGCCACTGAGGCAAACAGAGCTCAGGAGATTAAATGGGTAAAGATTGCAAACAGAGCACTAGGGGAGGAGAGGGACTGCATAATCAGTGTTTAGCTCTCACCTCTAGCCCAAGACATACAATTGCATTTGAAAAATCTCACAACCCATCAGTTTTCTTCCACCAGTGCACTTGCTATTTAATTTGAAAATGGAGGGAGACTAAAAAAAGCAATTGTTGGGAAACAGTTTGTTAGTCATGTGAAAATAGTAAAGAATCAGAGGTGATTTCTTCTCAGACTGAACATGGAATTTCTGAAGGGGGAGCACAGTCATACTCAGAGCACTCCTCTGCTTCACTGCAGCATCACTTCTTAGAACCAGCCTAGCTCCTAGCTGGCCTGGCTTCCAGAAAGAAACGTAAAGAGCAGTAAGTGTATCCTCCCATTGATAATTGCTGGCTTCAGAAAAGCTGGTGAAATATTTTTTATTTTCTTGGAGAAAATGTTGATGAAGCAAGAGTTTTAAACAAAAAAATGTTAGATTTTTGATGAAAGTTTGTGTAGCAAAAATGCCAATTTAGAAAAAACACCAAGATGCACAGATGAATTATTATACAGTTGTTTATACTTTTATTCTCTTTTGTAGCGAAAGCTTACCAATCAGACTACATTTCCTAGCTTTGGATAGAGAAAGTAGGCAATGAGTAATGTCGTTCCATGGTCTAAGGTCTCACAGAAGCCTAGACAGGAAAAGGATTGGAATTCATAAGGAACAGCAACTCCCATAAGAGCAGGATTTTCCAATTAACACATTTCAATTTTTCATCAAAATGTTTCTGGGATAGCTAAAGGCATTCTGAAGGACATATCTGGTTTATTGAAAACATGCTTTCATCTATTAAGAAACAAACTGAGCAGACAATTTCCTATCAGTTATACTCCTTTAATTTAAGAACTTTTACCTGAGTTATCTTGTATTCGGTCTGTTTTCTACTACTGCCCTTCAGCTGATTATCTTAAAGGGGTTTAAGAACCATTCTTGATGAAAGCGTCTCCCAAGGTTATGCCAGAAGTAATGAACCTTTACAGTGATGAACAGAATGATACAATCCTTGTATTACCAAGGACTAATTGAATGAAGACGTCAGACATTCGTATCTCACTTACCTACCTTCTTTGCCCACAAGAAACTGTTATGCAGACCAGAAAAAATACGTTTCTTCCTGAAATCCCAAGGAAGAAAGTATAACATGAGTCCTAGTCCCTTACTCTCCACCACCTGCACAACACTTTGCATACACCTGTGCATCACCTAGATGTTTCCTTTTCCTCAGAGGGAAGAGATTGCTTTCACTGTAAATGTCCTTTCCGAGGTCATGGAGGGGGAAAGTGGCTTCATTCCTGTGTCTCCCCTGCCCAGTGGAGATTTACATATCAGAAGTACCTATTACAACATTCTTTGATGCCAGCTAGGTCGGTGAATCTGTGAAACCAAGCCCATGTTACTGCAACATTTACACAATATCTCATTATAAGACCAAGCTTAACACAACAGATACACTGAAAAGCTTAAAACTAGATTCTTGCTGAAGTGGATCTAACTTTCTTTTAATGAAATATATCAGTACAAAGATGACAATATGTTGTAAATTATTTCCAAATAACTTCTGCCTTCTGAAGTAAATGGTCTCTTGCAAGAAAATTCTTCTGAATCGTCTGCCAATGTATGATTAATTTACACTAGGCTGTAGAGGACGAGTGAGTTTCTGTATCAGAAATGCTGCAAGCACAAGGCAAAGAGACAGGCAGAGTTAAATATGCAGTCGCTGACATAATTTCTGTGTTTTTGTTGCTGTAGTCAGAGCATACCCGTTGTGGTAACGCTCTTTTTCTCGCTCACTCTGTCTCTGACTCTCTGTTTCGTGTCTCATTGAAATAACTACCAAAGTAATTTCTCACAGCCTGTCATCAGTCTATACTCCCAAGCACTGACATTTCAACCTGAGTATGTTGAATTCATTGACCTGATTTCTTTTTAGAGTCGTACTTTCTTTATATGACTGTTTTTACAAGAGACCCACACTATGGAATGCCCCAATCAACTCTTTCCACAGCAGCGGCCTTCATGGCCTGAGTGATGGCTAAAAGATAGGGCTTAAAAGGTGCTTATATACCTATTGATGCAATTGGTTGTTTAGTATGGAAATTTTAAGGCATCTAGGATCCTGGATCCCACCTAAAACCACAAATGCTGAAATGGAAGAATGAAATTTGAAATTGTGTCTGTACAATATACAGTCCCTGTGTTGGCTGGATACAGCTCAAAGATTTCTTTCCTCCTATGCAGACCAAGATGCAGTGTGTGCTTTTCAGCTCATGGACTGTGATTTTCCCCATCACAAAGACAAATTGCAGGGGTTGGCTGGCCACTTCAATGAGACAATGATTCCCTCATTTTACTTCTACACCATAGTGCAGGCTGTAACCACTAACCACACCAATGATCTGAGGCAACCCAGAGAAAAACTGCCACAAGAGATTTCTCTGCAAGGAGGAAAATCTCATTTCAAGTCTTCTGCTCCTAAACAGTCACCACTGAGATGCCACTTGTACAGACTGGTGTAGGAAGGAGGTTGTGTCCTAATCATAGATCCTCTCTATGATCAGATGAGGATCAGTGAGGTGATTAAGGACATGTTTAGATCATTCTGCTTTTAATAAGCTTTACATGTTTTGGGTGCTTAACTCTTACTTCAGTCAACAGAAACTAGTGCCTCAGTCCCTTTAGAGACTTGAGCATACCCATTAACTTCTGTGTGGAATAGAAGGGAAAGTAGATGCATGTTGGGGTGCTGTTCCAAGCAGATGACAGGGAGGACAGTTGCTGACACAGGATCCTCTGCTATGAACAGCTAACACAGCTCTGAATTCATACTGCAGCAGATAATTCACCTTTCACTTCCCTTCTAAGAGTGGGCAACTGCTGCTATCATTTGATCTCTAGGTCTTCATGCATGCAGTCACTGGTGGTTAGTGCTTTGATAAAATTGATTTTTCCACTGTGATTATAGAGGCGGTAAAAAAAAAGAAAAAAGAAAAAAAAAAAAAGAAACCAAAGAAGTAACAGGAGGCACATTACTGATCGTTTCCTCACAGGAACAGCAAGTTGGCAACTGCTGTTGATTAATTCTGTGTTGCACAGAGAATGTAAACATGTCCTTACATCCCATTCCTGAGAGATGGTGAGTTTGTTTCCATAAATATGATCTAACCCACATTAAGATATGTACCTGATAACACTGTGGAGAAGGTATGTTGGAGAACCATGCAGCACAACTAAATCTACTATCAGGCAAAAGGCTGGATAGTCAAGAACAGTAGACAATTAGCCCAGATATCCAGGTATAACTCTCCTGCCAGGTGTCAGGGGTAGCACTAAGGGACAGATTTGGTTATGTAGGCATTCTGTCATTGTTTTGAACTTAGAGCCAAAAAAACCAGAAACGTAGTTATGGCTCTTGGCTTTGGCAAAGAAACCACTCCATCTGCAGCAAGTCCAAGCCTTTTTAACAGGTCTCCCAGTATATCTTCCTTACCAGTGGAAAGCTATGCTAGATAGCTTAGGTGCCAGGTGTAACACAGCCCCCAAAGGATCCATTTATCTTGCTCCAAGTTAGATTGTTTTTTTATGCCCACCCGGCACCTCACTCATCTGTTCATGCTATTGTCCCTGATCATTGCAGGGGGAGGGTTGGACTAGATGACCTTTAAAGGTCCCTTCCAACCCAAACTATTCTATGATTCTATGACTGTGTTGTCCAGAACGGACATGTTCTTTACTGAAGGGAAAAAGCATGGTTATCTGTGAGGACACACTTGAGAAAGTTGGCAACTGATAGCTACCCATGCTCCCTCCTCCCTAGGATGTTTTGGTTGCCTCCACTGTTGAGATTTGGGAAAGTGTGCTAATATTAACCACTTCCTGTTTCACTGCAGCTTCCTCCCAGTTTGTTGACCAGGGTTGGCAGACATCTAAATTTGCACTGGTGTATCACTCATCCCCAGTGAGGGGCCGCTCCTGGTGTGGCCGTCCCTGCTAGCGTCTAAGTGATGATTCCTGGGATAGGCACTGAAGTTTCAGATTAGTGAGACCTCACTGGGCTACTTCTCATGGTTGCTCTCTGTGGCCTCACGCAAAGTAATCTTGGCTCTGTCTGTTTCCTCTACAAAGAAAGACAGGGAGGAACTGATCTTAATATGTCCCAGCATCGTCTCTCCCTTCAGAGAGGACCATCTGACAGATACGTTTCTTTTACTCTCCTTCAACACATTCTTTCTGCCCATGTTCAACTGACCTCATTAGTCTGTGTTTGGAGTCAGGATCACACCTCAGCTGGGAATATTTGGGCCGGCAGTCTTGCTCTTTTATTGCTTCATGTGCACAATATTCCGTTTCCTATTTCAAAGCTCACTTTCTCCCAGAATACTTCTGATCATTGCTAGCTGAAATGCTGAAATGAGACCTGGGCCAGACAGTCATTTTCTTCTACCTGCTAGCAGTCATCAGAGCAGAGATGCTGTTCCCTTGCACCTTTTGTCCGTTCATCTCAAGTATATCTTCTCCATGTTCAGTCCCAAGTGCCAGGACTAAGTGCCCAGCTCTCAAGGCACACATCACAAGAATCATTTAGCAGATTATCTTTTAATATCAAATATACAAAACCAGAATCCAAAACTTTAATTGGTTTCTCAAAGCAACGCTGGTTACATGAAATTTGTGTAATCTGCTCCTTGACTTCTCAACGTTAGTGTAAAGTGAAGGCACAGGGTCAACACGCCCAATGCTAATCACTGCATTTCATTTAACATTGCAGCACTAGCTCTTCAGCCCCTTGTGAATCAGGGAAGGCCTCAGTCCAGCGAGGTGTTTAGACCTCTGCTACTTCTAAATATGTGAATACTCCCAAAGGTGCTTTTCAGTCAGGTTTCAAGAGAGAGTTGAGTCAGTGCATCAGCTGCCACAGGCAGCAGCTGCCTACCTTCTCCTGGGCTTTAGTTTGCTGAAACAACAGAAAACTGCTCATTGTCTTTCATTGTTGTTTTTTTTTTTTGTTTGTTTTGTTTTTTTTCTTTTTGGTTTGGTTTGGTTTGGTTTGATTTTTTTCTTCAAGTGAGGAATTTCTCCCTTGTTTAGCAAACAACTGACTCCTTCAAGTGTTCGGTGAAAGCCAGTGGGAAGAGGCTAGACCTTGATCCTAAATACAGTTGGGTCTAGGTTGCCTCCCCTCCTTCTGCTTGTGGAAAAAGGGTCCTTCTTGGTGAGAATTGTTATTCCCACCTGCAACCAAGAGGGAAGGTCTAACCCAAATGGGTGAGGTTTGTTCACACCAACCCACAGTGACACGCGAAGTCCGGAAAGGATCCCCTAAACCTCACCCTGACATGGTTCTGGAGGACAATGACATCTTCCTGGTGGGACACGATGAGTTCTGCATGCCTGGGTCACCCTGCTGCAGATGGCACACAATGCAGCCCATCCTTCAGGAGCCCCCTTCTGCCTGTCTGGCAGAAAGAGGTTTCTATTACGCTGACATCAGGACTGGCATTCACTGCCAAGCCAGGCCTCTGAGGCT